CGGCCAGGCCCCGCCGCCGCCATGGGCTGCCTCGGAAACAGTAAGACCGAGGACCAGCGCAACGAGGAGAAGGCGCAGCGCGAGGCCAACAAAAAGATCGAGAAGCAGCTGCAGAAGGACAAGCAGGTCTACCGGGCCACGCACCGCCTGCTGCTGCTGGGTGCTGGAGAATCTGGTAAAAGCACCATTGTGAAGCAGATGAGGATCCTGCATGTTAATGGGTTTAATGGAGAGGGCGGCGAAGAGGACCCGCAGGCTGCAAGGAGCAACAGCGATGGTGAGAAGGCCACCAAAGTACAGGACATCAAAAACAACCTGAAGGAGGCTATTGAAACCATCGTGGCCGCCATGAGCAACCTGGTGCCCCCCGTGGAGCTGGCCAACCCTGAGAACCAGTTCAGAGTGGACTACATTCTGAGCGTGCTGAACGTGCCCGACTTTGACTTCCCACCTGAATTCTACGAGCACGCCAAGGCTCTGCGGGAGGATGAAGGAGTGCGTGCCTGCTATGAGCGCTCCAACGAGTACCAGCTGATCGACTGTGCCCAGTACTTTCTGGACAAGATCGATGTCATCAAGCAGGCCGACTACGTGCCCAGTGACCAGGACCTGCTTCGCTGCCGTGTCCTGACCTCTGGAATCTTTGAGACCAAGTTCCAGGTGGACAAAGTCAACTTCCACATGTTCGATGTGGGTGGCCAGCGTGATGAACGCCGCAAATGGATCCAATGCTTCAATGATGTGACTGCCATCATCTTCGTGGTGGCCAGCAGCAGCTACAACATGGTCATCCGGGAGGACAACCAGACCAACCGCCTGCAGGAGGCTCTGAACCTCTTCAAGAGCATCTGGAACAACAGATGGCTGCGCACCATCTCTGTGATTCTGTTCCTCAATAAGCAAGATCTTCTCGCTGAGAAAGTCCTTGCTGGGAAATCGAAGATTGAGGACTACTTTCCAGAATTTGCTCGCTACACTACTCCTGAGGATGCTACTCCCGAGCCCGGAGAGGACCCACGCGTGACCCGGGCCAAGTACTTCATTCGAGATGAGTTTCTGAGAATCAGCACTGCTAGTGGAGATGGGCGCCACTATTGCTATCCTCACTTTACCTGCGCTGTGGACACCGAGAACATTCGCCGTGTGTTCAACGACTGCCGCGACATCATCCAGCGCATGCACCTTCGTCAGTACGAGCTGCTCTGAGAAGGGAACCTAAATTTAATTAAAGCCTTAAGCGCAACTAATTAAAAGTGAAACATAATTGTACAAGCAGTTAATCACCCACCATAGGGCATGATTAACAAAGCAACCTTTCCTTTTCCCCCCAGTGATTTTTGCGAAACCCCTTTTTCCCTTCAGCTTGCTTAGATGTTCCAAATTTAGACAGCTTAAGGCGGCCTACAGAAAAAGAAAAAGGCCACAAAAGTTCCCTTCACTTTCAGTAACTAAAATAACAGCAGCAAACAGAAATAAATAAATAAATAACTAAATGAAATAAATGAAACAAAAAATGAAACAAATGAAATAAATATTGTGTTGTGCAGCATTAAAAAAATCAATAAAAATTAAATGTGAGCAAAAAAAATAATAATAATTTATGCAAAACAGATGATAAAAAATTCAGGCTCCATTCATCAGACTGCTTATATGTATCTCCTACAGAGGAGTCAAAATTGTAACTGTTTCAGTTCTTTATATTCTGCCTTAGCATATATTTGGAAACCTGCACTAAGCGTGTATAAGATGTTTAATTTTCAATAATTCAAGATGTGAGAACTGAAGAGATCTGAAGCTGTTTGAAAACTACTACATAAGAAAAATGTGGTTATGTCAGGGGGAAAAACATGTTTTGTAAGTCATATTTTACTCCTCTAAACTCATGAGATTTTATCCATGTTTTTTAGGGCCTATTGAATTTATAAAATTATTGCTTATTTTCTAAAATTTTTTTATATTTCATAGATTCTAAGAGTTGTACACATGTGACTTTCAAAAAATACTCATTGAATTAATGAATTTTATTTTTATTTTACTTTTCTGGTTGCTAATTGATGGTGTAAGTGAATTTTCCTTTTAGTAGAAAACATGTCAAAACATAGACTAGTGATTAAAATTATTCTAATCTGATAGTAAATATTTCAAATAATTTGAAAGATATAGGCATTGTATTGGATTGTGTAAAAATAAAAACAACCGGAACAGTATTTTGATAAACCACAAAATAGAATTTCAAATTAAATAGTTGCTGTTTTAAAATAAATTTAATAAAATGGTGACTGTATTGCTCTTTTGCTTTCTATGTTACCATGATTCACATTGTTTTCTTATTATCAATAATTTCAACAGACATTCATTATGTATAGGATATAATGCTTTTGGTCTCTTTAATTATTTTTACTGTTATATGATGTTCCTCATATTGACTTTTAACAATTCCCAGTTTAAACTTGAAAGTGCAAAAAGACAGAATAACTGAACTCATTAATGTAGAATGCCTCATAGTGTATGAGATCATTACTCCCCAAATAATTACAAGCTAAATATATAAAGAAAATTTTAAACAGTTGAGAAGAATTAATAAATAACATATCAAAAAGTTATTTTGGGGAGGAAGAGATTTGAAAATTAAATATTTAACAACTTCATAAAAGATGTATGTCTCTAATTGTGAAATACTTCATGCATATGTTTAAGAAATTGTAGTACTGTGGACCAGCAGTTGTCAAAATGTGATTTCTAAGACCTTTTAAAGAGTTCTACAAGGTAAAAGTATTGTCATAATAATAAAAGGATATACTTGCCTTTTCTCTATGCTGACATTTATATTAATTGGGTGAAAGCAAGGCTGGATCAAAGTGCTGCATCTTACCATAGCACACAAAGATGTGGGTGGATTTCACTTCTACATGGATACAGTATTTTCCACAACCCAACAGTCTTATTTAAAGACAGAACCAGAAAACCCCACCAGACTGACCCATGGCCTTGAAGCAATAGTGAAAACATTTTATTATCCATTTTATTTGGAGTATATATTTTTAACACTGTGTGTGTTCATAAAGCATAATTGCTTTCTCATGGTTTAAATATCTAGGACGCTTCAAGAACATGCAAAACAGAGAGATGGAAGCAATTAAATGAGTTTTGGAGAAGATGGTGGAGTCGTGAACAGCAGAGAAACAGTGTCTATGAGATTTGGCATCCAGATGCAGGAATATGTCAATGTGAAGAAGAAAAGAAGGAAAGTGGGGCCCCAGAATCCAGCAAGGATCTTAAGCAAGAATGGAAACCCCAGGAAGAGAAAAGAGAGAGACCTGAAAACAGAAGGTGACAAGTGGGGCTTTCTCCTTGAGCCCTTACTCACAGTGTGTGAAGGGCTACTTGACCTGTAGATGCAGAGTGACTACTGGTGACCCCAGCGACCTCCATGAAGAAATGCACCAGTGGAATGGAACAGTGGGAACAGCAGACAGCAGTGGCTGGTGAGGTATTCTGGTTCACACATCACCCAGAAGAGGAAGATTGGCCAAAAGCCATCTTAGAGAGAGGCCAACTATGGGTTGGCTCAATCTAGTGGTTCCTAGTGTCAGAGTGAGGTGGAACTGAGTTCAAGTTGGCAGAAGGTCAAGCAGCTGAGTTGAAGCTGGCAGGAGGCACACAGAGTGTTGCAGTCTGAACAAATTGTATTCCAGCCTCAGAGCCAGCAACTCCGCTGAATGGTTCAGCCTTCCTGGGATTATTCACTATTCCACTGTAAATCTATGGCTAGCTTTCTGGGATTAATCAACATGGATCTGGGCTCTATCTGCTCACTATCAACCAATGACAGCAGTGACACATTCTGAAGTGAATATTTTTTCCTTCTTTTTATTTTTTCTTTTATTGATTGTTCATTCTTGTTTTTATATAAGTGTGAACATTGCTTCTAGTTTTTCTATTGTTGTGGTTCTGTTTTGTTCTTGTTTTTACTTCTTCCTTCTCTCTTTCCCTCCTATCTTCTTTAGCAGTTTCTCAAAGTTCCTGTAAACTTCTTTTGCCCTCAAGCCTCATTTCTGAATTTTTTTCTCTTCTTCTATTTCTCTATCCACCCCCAGCCCTTTTTAGATTATTTTCCCCTGAGGATAAAATCACCATATTGAGGTCATATTTACTGTATACAATTTTGTTTGTTTTAGATTTTTATGATATTATCACAAATATAGTCCATATAGTTAAAGGTGGCAAATTAATAGTTAACACAGTTTGTCATTTTCTAGGCTAAACAATGCTATTGTTATTGCTGATTGTACTACTTTAGCCAAAGTGATGTAATTGTTCTAATCAATTGTTTTTCCTGGTTTGCCAAGATTAAGATTGTCTAAGGTTCATAAATAATATTATAGGCCAATGCCAAAGAATAAGGGGTTAAGCCAAATAGGCAAAAAACTCTTCATCCCCAAAACACTGAAGAGTTGGGATCTTGCAAATGACTCAAAATCTAAGAGCCAGCTACACCTGGAAGACATCTCTGCAAAATAGTCATTTTCTAAAGGTTCTAAATACTAGCAATAAAGCTACTTTCCATAAGTAATTTACAAGCATCATTTCACAAATTAAACTTTAAAAAGTAGGAAATGGGAAGACATTTAAGCAAATGCAACCCCAGACTTCCAGCTCACCAAAGGCAAACCCAAGGGCAGTGAGGTGGAACAATTCAAAAGCTACCCACATGGACTCTCTGAAGTGGTAACTGTTGAAGTAATAAGGCAGATGAATGAGACTCTAGAAAAAATCAAATCAGAAATTGCTTGTTCTACATAATTTTGTAATTTTGCAATTCTACATAATTTTGGAGAAAAATCATTTAACAATTAAAATTATGATTAAGCCTAGTTTTCCTGCCCATAGGTCAGCTATGGCATGTTGAGACATAATTCCATTTTTGCCTCTGGTCACAGCTAACACCTCAGTAGTCCAGTGATGCAATGTTGCTCCAGGCAAGATTATACCAGCTGGAGACATCCCGGGGAGGAACAAAATCTTCACTTGTAATATTTCTTATACTTGATTGACCGAATAAAGGTGTGGCAAGCTAGGGGGATCTTTTGTCTTTGCTGCCCAGAGCAGCATTGAACAGGCCCAAAGCTCAGCTTCTCTAAGTTTCATTTTCTTTCTTTTGTAATTAATTAATTGGCTTTGTGCTTTCATGGCTTTCAGGAGACTAAGAATTACTGCAAAAGTTCTAGTAATTTTCCCTTTCCCTGATCCCTACAAGAATTTATAAGATAATTGCAGAGATGGTAACCATAATGAAAAATATGATTAGTAACTCAAGAGCAGATATAGATTTAAAAAAATGGAAGAGCTTAGAATCATAATGAAAACCATGAACACCCCCAACAGATTCAAACTGATATCTAAGAGGTTAAAAATTCCATTCAAAGTATATGCACCAGAATGAGCCAATGTGAGGACAGAATATCAGATATGGAAGACAGGATTGCAGTTAGCAATCATGAAAAGAAAACTTTCTCAAAAATAGCAAAGGACCATAAAAAATCAACCCATAAGCTGCTAGATGATGAAAAGAAGAATAATGTAAGATTCAATGAGTAAATGAAAAAGCAAGATAGTGTGCAAATGATATAAAAAACCTGTTCACGAAAGTAATGGCAGAAAATTTCCCAAGGGGGAGGTATCTGACATACAGATAAGTGAGGCATACAGAACTCCAATTAGCCATGATTAAAAAATCTATACCAAGGCATTTAATAATCAAGATTCCAGAAAATCAACATAAGGCCATAATATTAAAAGGAATAGAATATTAAAAGATGTTAAAGAAAAGAAAGAAATCACCTATAAAGCAAACCCATCATAATGACAGCAGACTTCTCAACACAAAGTCTCAAGTCAAAGAGAGTATGGATTAAAGTATTTCAAGTCCTAAAAGAAAAAAACCTCCATCAAGACTGATGAACCCCACAAAGTTGTGATTCAAAATTGATGAAGAAATAAGATACTTCCATGACAAAGAACACCTGAAGAAATTGATGAACACCAAATCAGCACTCCAAAGTGTTCTAAAGGCCAGGGATTTAGCTCAGCGGCTCAGTGGCCTGCCTCGCAAGCGTAAGGACCCGAGTTTGATCCCCGGTACCACAAAATGTTCTAAATGACATTGCTAAAGAGAAAAGGAGGACTACAACTCCATAAAGCCCCAACAGAATGAATCCACCCAGCAAGGCAAGTAGTTAAACACAGAGAGTAAAAAAAGGAACCAACAATAGGAAAATAATATGACAGGAAAAAGCCAATACATGTCAGTTATAACTATCAATGTAAATG